TTGATTCAGGGTTTTTGGTTTTTTGTTGCTGTTTCATCACCATTTATAGCTCTATTTTTATCAAATAGTTTATTAGAGCACAACACTGTTTACAAGCATACCAAGTTCTTCATAGATAGCCTCTTAATTTTGCATCAAATTAATGCATTTAACTTTAAAATGTACAAAACATTCTTACGGGGGGCATGCCCCCGGACCCCCCAGTGAGAGGGTTCAAGGCCCACCCACCATAGTCTCTTAAAATCCTGTGGGAAACAGTGGATATATAAAGATGCCAAAACATATTTGTTAAATTAATAATAAAGTACTGTACAGTTCCACTGCACAATAAATGAAAATGTGTGTTGTTGTCACAATATAGTTAGTAAGTGCACAAATGTCTTTGTTTTTCTCTTCAGACATCATACAAAATAGTCAATAGCCAGCACAAATAAACAGTAGCAACATCCCCAAAGCAAATCAATTCTTGACTGTTTCTTTTAGCCAGGAGATGTGGCCTGCGGCCAAACAGTTGCCATTTGGGGTCACTCACTCATTGATGCTAGGTGAACAGTGTGAGAGAATGCTGCGTCAGCTTGCGCTCAGCACCTACATCCCACTACAGTTTTTCACTATAAGACAGACTACAAACGAAATACTATATATGTGATACCACTCAGGGAGGACGATTTTTTTGTGTGTTTTTAATAATAATGTTCTTTTTTGAGACACAAAAGGTTTTTGTGAATATTTATTTGGTCACTCATGGTTTACTTTTAAGCAAAGATGAAAGGAAACCAGTACAATCCAGTAATGTAGACCACCATTAATTGTATTTAGTGCCAGTATGACCAGCATACCATGAACTGGTTTACTTGCCATTATTCCATGTTGTGCGACTTTGCTGGTAATAGGTGTGAGAAAAAAGGGAGTGGATAAAGTACAGCTGATGACATATCCCTTGTGAAATCTTCAAAGTTGCAGCAGTGTGGCTACAGCAGTGATAGTTAATGCACTCTGGGAACGAGGGAAAACAAGGCAAGTAAACAAGTTCAACTAAATAGATGTGCTTTATGTACTAATTGAGACCAAACTCTTTGATAAATTTAGTGTCAGTCCTTTGCAGTATTCTGCATATTCTAGAGTGTAACCCAACTATTATTTGCACAACACTGCAGAATAACCCGATTATTTCGAATGTGTTTGTATTTGAATTCTATAATAAAGGGTACTTTATTGTCACACATACATGCTGAGAAATTCATTCTCTGCATTTAACCCATCCCTCAAGGGAGCAGTGGGCAGCCACTGTGCAGGGACCAACTCCAGATCTATATCATCTATATCTATATCAGTGTCTGGTCAATGTCACTGACTGGAGAACCTTACATGTTTTTGATGGTGGGGGAAACCAGAGCACTCACGCAGACACGTGCAAACTCCACACAGAAAGGCAGGGACAACCGGGGATTGAACCCGGAATCTTCTTGCTGTGAGGCCACGGTGCTATCCACTGGGTCACTGTGCCGTCTAATGTCTAAGGGTCTTAAAAAATGTTAAAAAGTGATAGAATGTTTGTGTCCGTTAATCTAATGTCATCTAGGTCTAATCATATTAAAGCGTGGACACTATATTATTGCTCTGATTAGAAAAGTCCATTTGTAAAGCCATTTCATCAAGTCTTAAAAATATTGAGATGCTATTTAGCAACAGGGCTGGGCAATATGGCCAAAAATGTTATCACAATAAAAAAATTCTATAACTATCATGAAATCATTCATTCTTTCATGTTTAAAGGCTGATTTTTGCTCCTGAGTGAAAATTGAAGAAACCACATGGCTAATTGTGATTTTAAACTATTCTTTATGTTCAGAACAAACAGTAGCGCTAATTCATTTTGTGATTCAAATAAATTAAATGAAACATTTATTGAAGATTTGTTATATTTTATTGTTTCATTGCCCAGCCATATTTAGCAATATCACTGTATTTATCTGGAAATGAGCCATTGTTTAAATACGCACACATGCTGTCGGCCTGGATGGGTTCCATAACCTCACATTTTTGCTTGCTTTTTTGCTATAATTTGCTTGATGTGTGTAACGCCCACAGACACACAATTGCACTGCGTCCTACAGTAACATCTTATTGTGTTTCAGAAAATGGGGGCAAAAAAAAAAAGGAGGTCCAAAGCACTATAAATGTGATCAGTGTGCGTCTGAAAGGTCAGAGAAAGAAGCAGAATGATTTCTGGAAGCTCCCTGCAGTTTCTTCCAATATGGTGAACTAAAGGCCTGGAGCTGCTGCAGAGGTAGAGCTGTGGCCGAGACCGCAGGAAAGAAAGAATGAATTGCTGTTTGGAGATGAACTACAGACACACTAGTTTCTCCTCAGCGGGATTTCCATGCATACCCGGAGGCATCTCATCATGCCATTGCCTATATACATATTACTAGTCTTATTCGCTCTCCATTCCTCCTTTCCGCTTCTCCCTCCCTCTGATGGCAATGAAGGGACAACAGAAAGAGATTTTCTTTTGCCTCCTCTTTCCCCTTCTCTCTCTGTCTCCCATCTCCTCCTTTCCTACATCAAGCTCTCTTTTCTTTCCTTTTCTCTTCCTTCATCCATCCGTTCCCCTTTTGTTTTGCTCATCTCTTACTCTTTTCTTCCCCCACTCTCTCGCTCCGCTCCGTCATTGTCAGTGGGCAGATCCCTCTCGGGGAGACATCTGCTGACTAGCTGCTCCACTGTGATGGAGAGACGCGCACACACACACACACACACACACACACACGGTGTAAGATCATGCATAATTATGGATGTTTACACCACAGCTAATGATGAACTGATTCAATTCAAGTTTATTTATATAGCGCCAATTCATAACATAACAGAAGATATGATCAGATCAGTACCACAGTACTGTGAAGGACCGCATATGTGTGTTGGCTTCTTCTGAAAAAGATTATCCTTATGATTGTATATTATTATTACCATTCCATGAAAGCATAGAAACTTAGAGAGAGTCTGGTTTCCTCCTCTCTCCGCCCACCCTTCCCTCTCCGCCTGTCTTTCTCTTTGACAATGATGACTGTCTCTCAAACCCACAGCGACACAGAACCCAACATGTGTTCACTTCATCCATCAGTGCAGAGAAGTCCTCCTCTCTCTGCCTCCCCTCCACTTGCTTCAACACTCCCCCTTTCACTTCTTCCTTCAATCAATCTTTTTGTTGCAGACAGGCAAACAAAAGAAGGCATGTCCACAGGGAGTGCGCATCTGTTTGTCACCGTGTGTGTGTGTGCATGTGTGTGCATGTGTGTGCATGTGTGTGTGTGTGGGGGGGGCGGACATGCAAATAAGCCTGTAATATTTCTATTTTGGACAGGGAAAGAATGTGGTAGCTAGTTCTCTGGTGGCAGAAGAAGGAAGAAAAAGAGTGGAACCTCCTGCCAAATGGTAGGATGCAATTGAAAAGAATGACACAAGATGGTGCGTAGGCAGTGGTGGTGGAGATGGGTGTGTGCGTTCCGTTCAACTGTAAGTGAACATTTCCGTGCACATGTATTCGACTCTGCGTGTGTATATTAATTAGATGGGACTGAATGTGTGTGTGCATATCTATTACTTCTATCTCACACGGCTCTAGGCAACAGCCCCCCGTGGTAAACCACGTGCTTAATACCTTCCTGAAAGGCATTAAGCACGTGGCAGCCATTGCACTGGATCTCTGGAATGGAGCCACTGGTCAGGTGGGCTTCCACATAATGATCATAAAGTAGAACCAGAGTGGACAAGATTGAGACTGTTCTCACAAGACAGAAAAAATACAACAATGGTCACTTTTTCAAATACTCAGTAGTATATATACTACATACTTTATATCGTACTTAATAATAGCACTTGTGTGTTTGTCCTGTTTATTTGGTTTGTTTGGGCTGATGTGAAAGTCAATCGAACTGTGGTGCAGACCAAACAACCAGGCCGAGACCGCTTGAAAAAGGTGGTCTCGGCTGCGGTTTGCTTGTGAGACGAAAGCAAACGAACCAGCCGCAGGATTTTATGATAGCAGATATGTAATTTTAGCATCATTTCAATAGCTAAACTTTAATAAAACCCTCTACTGAATGGGAAATCTGTTCAGGAACTGATCTTATAATTGACCTACAGTGTAAGTATATATGTATGTTACTGTAAGACCCCTTTTCATTTAGTCAATATGTCATTATTCATAACACGGATTCTAATAATAATTACACTTATAAACAGTTACTTCTTTGTGAGCTCTTTGTGACAACAATGAATATAAATATACACATCAGAAGCATTAAAGTGCTGCACAAACTGTCAGTCAAACGGAATTTGATTTCCCCACGTGGGTCCTGGTGATGCAGGAGGACAATCGCCAAAACTGTCCAATCAACAAATGACCTGTCAGCCTGTATAACTTCATGTTTACTCCTATTGGTTTGTTTGTAAAAAGTCAGTGTGAACATGGATACAGAATTAAAAGCAACAATGTCTGATTTTTACCCTTTGGCCCGGACCAAATGAACCAACTACAGGTTTGAAAGCTCCTCTAAACAATCTGCTTACAAGAGAACTCTTTTGGGCAGGAGTTTTTCCATTAGCTAACTATTGCCTTTACAATACTAATCATTTACACAAAGTAAAAACGACAGCAGTCCGATAAATCCATACTTTGTGATTTAATCTATCCTTCCTCTGAGCATGCAATAAAAACTAGTAGAAGAGGACAGTCGAGCAGAGCTGACAGATTTGAGCAGAAGGTACAGAGACAGAGTAGTGAAGAGTGGTAGAATAGAATAGTAAAGACCAGCTCATAGAACAGGGATAAATACATAATGGAAAGCGGAAAATATAAAGTGGTCAACTGAGTGGAAAAACAAGCTACTTCATTAGATTACTTCTAACACTAACTGTCGGTAAGATTGTGTGTGTGTGTGTGTGTGTGTGTGTGTGTGTGTGTGTGTGTGTGTGTGTGTGTGTGTATTATGTACCTCTTTTGAGCCTGACTTGGCCAGGTAGATGCCGCTGCGTCGACAGCCTTCATCAAAACAAACTGGGAGGAGGTGGTCCTGGTATCCATCACCGTCTGCCAGACGCAGAAACAGAGAATTATATAGAGAAGCAACAACCTTGGGATTGAACTACTGGGAAGCGTGATCCTTTGTTTTCTAAAACTGTGCTATTTTAATATTTTCACTCCATCAGAATGCCATGGATTTGCTCCGGAGTCAACTTTGAGCACAGCACAGTTTCTGGCAACAAAGAAAATTGTTGCTGTTTTGTTGTGTTTTTTCCGGGTGTGAGCCGGATCACAGGAACACCTGCTTGTTTCCTACGAGCAAACACACATCCAAGCAGCACTTGTGTCTTTGATGCCTTTTAATAATGTGAGTTGACTTGAAGTGTCATTTTCTCCACTGATTTCCAACACTATTAATTATTATCATAATGCCATGCAGGCTTCATCTAATGTACAAACAGAGACAGAGCCTCCCAAATCAAAACAACAGCTCTTCAAAGCTGAATAACACTTCAGTGCACCACACACACACACACACACACACACACTTGAATGACAAAACCACCTCTCGTTTAAGTTGTTGACTGAATGATGAATTACTTTTCACCACATTTACATCTGCCAGAACAGACACCATTGTGATCTACTTGTTGGTTCTCTGTGTCTTCAGGTCTTCAGTTCTGTAAAGCCAGAAACACAGATTTGAGGTGCAGAGTAGTGCACACATCCACTACAGTATTAACATAAAGAAAATGAGGCCTCTGTGAAAGCCCATACTACACATAAATAAAATCCCTCTTCATGTGGCAGTGCGTTGCTTAACAGAGTGTGGTGCCTCCAATTGCAGCTTATTTCAAAATTCAATATGCAATTAAGGATTACCAATATGACCTAAAAACATAATAACTTCTTACATTTACTTTGATCATAATGATTGTTAAACGATCTGAAAAGATTATTTAATCAATGAATTGATTAATCATTTATTTAGCAAGAATTCACTGGTCTAGCTTTGCAGAAAATAATATTTTTTCTTGTGAAAGAGTAAGATTTTGATGTCATCATGGGCTACAGTTACTTGAGAGCAGCTTTTATTTTTTGCTAACTGCTGATATTCTTAAGACCAAACAATTAAAAAAAAATTACTAGTAGACTAACACTAGACTAGACTAATCAATGCTGAAAATCATTGTTAGTTGCAGTTCTGATTGTAACACGAAATGTAACAAAGCATCAGTGCACAATATTTTCTTTCTTGTGTCGGCTCCGATATGTTTCTGTCCTTCATTATTAAGTAACATTCAAATGCAGGCTTTGTTTATTAAATATCCTGGTAGATTTACTTTCTGTTTTCTTACATGGGACTGAGACTTAACTTTCCATCAGCTGGTTTGGAGTGAATACACCAGGCTACGGCAAGCGTTACATCAGAAGTAGACATTACACATGGCTGTAATAAACTAAAAGTAGAGGTTGCAAACCAGAAACAAAACCATTTGCATGGAACTGACGGCCACTGATCTTAGAAAAATGGAGAGAGGTCCTCACTAATGTGTTTTACCAGCCATGTCTCTGCACGTTATGGGAATATCCGGCAAGATGCTGACAGCGGAAACAGCTGATCGTGAGTGACACGTTCGCTACTTCAAAACTTGTCCGGCAAAAGTGTTTCCATCTCCCATTTAGCACATTAACTCTTTTTCGACAAACACAAAAACCATCTAAAGTGAGAGTAATTGTTTGGGGCAAAATTAAGTTGTTGTTTTTTTTTTTTATTTTGCCATTTCCATCAACATTTTCTAATGCAATACTTCAAAATGCACATAAAAAAACATTGATGGAAACACGGCTTTTGTGATATGTGTAAAATGACTTAATTTAGGTGTGTAACTGATAACATCATTAATTAGATGCATTTGGTTTACTGTCTAGTCGTTGCAAAGGTGTGGGGTCATTCTTTATCAACATAATGATTATGTTACAGACATTTTTTCACTGCAGATATTTAGACATGTCAAAGCAGGAAGATCACATGTGTATCTAGTAATCCTAGTAAGCACTGCATTAGAATTACAGTTCCAGCGTTTGGGTACAATGCATGCATGGCTCATTTGTCATGGCTTACTAGGCCACGTAAATTGAGTGAGACCATCATTAATGGTATTACTTTACTGAGCTTTTCCTGTAATGACAAGTCTGTGAGAAAGGTAGAGAAAAGTATCTGAACATGTCAAAAAAAAAAAAAGGAACATACCAATATTGTAGTAAACACGTTTTCTGATCAATTCACTGCTGTTTAACAAAAAGACACATCTGATATTTGGTGTGCCGCACAGCTTTTGAGATTTGGCTGGTTCATAAAGACACAGCAGATGCTCCCTGGGTTCAGGGGTTGGCAGGTAAATTGACACCAGACATAAAAAGCGCTGAAACTGCTTCCAGGCTTCTCATAGCACAGTTTATCTGAATCCTTTTCAACAGGGCAAGTGCAACACTCCCAAACAGATGTTGTGCCATGTGGAACAGGAAAAGTGAATGACACTGATGATGAACGACAGTACAACACAGGGGAGGAGGAGAAACTGAACGTGGCTGTCAGAGACAACTGAGTGGGAGGCAGAAAGGGGGAGAAAAAGTAAGAGAGATAAGGAGATACACTGCAAAAGATCCGATAAATCCTTTTATGTACTAGTAAATAGTTAAAATCATATAAGAAAAATGTTAAACTGTCTGTGTTTCACCTGAGGTTGTAATATTTGTTTCCAAAGTTAGATGAATGTATTATTTATTTTCTTTGTAAAGGGGGCATATGCATATTATAATCATGTATTGTATCAGAGTTAGCTTAAAGCTGTAGTCCCTTGTTTTATAATACTCTCAAGTCAATGGCTGACCAAAACGCACATTTAAAATGCTAAAAATCTTGAGAGAAATATTCAATAGTATGCTGACACGGACCATCACATCTCGATCAAACTGTCTTGTTAGTCATTCACACTGACAATGAAAAATGCTGGATTCAATAACATTTTTTTTTTTTAAATAATTAAAAACACAGGTCCCAACTATGGATGGGTACTCCTTAGTGTTTATGGCTGTATGAAGAAACATGAAAGCATACAAATTGTTTGTGCTATAAATCTCTATAAAGATAAAACACATTTCTTTTGCAGTGCGCAGAGAAAAAGAGAGAGAGAGAAATGGTAAAGGAAATCTCTTTAGAAGGTACACTGCATTTCATAAATTTTTAATTATGTCCATTTTCAAGGTAATGTTTCGCATAATTTAAAGGTGGCACATACTGTAATAATGAAATGACATGTCAGGTTTACATCCAATTTCACACCTGGGCAGATTTTTTTGATTATTTGATTCATTACCATGAAGCGATGTATTAAAAAGGTACAATGTGTAAGATTTGAACAGAAAAAATCAACACTTCATAAAACTCTTACAACTCTGTTTGAACACATTCATTCCATATCAAACCTGCGTGATGACAATAAGTCCATTTCAGCAAGTCACTACCCATCGCTGCGTATAAGCCCCGCCCCCGTGAGCGTACCCTAAACTGTACTGTAGTTTATTCAAAATTTAAATGAAATGCGAGACTGCACTCCTTTGGGTCCGCAGCAACAGAACTGCCGTGTGACAAGTTGATTTGATGAACGGTTCTCAACATAACACACACACACACACACACACACACACAGATTCCTGCCTTTATTAGAGAGATATATGATATCAATGATCTGAGTCTCATAAATGATGAAATATGCGTTCCATGCATGCCAATCCTTTAGATTTCTCTGTCATTCTCAACACTGCTCTCCTGGAGTTTCAATTTCCCAGATATTTCCTCCATGAAATATCAAAATCTGCCCATCCACTATAATTATTAGAAATAGTGTCACTGCTGTTTGTTGTTGTGTTTTTAAAATGACGTACCTATTCAACTTATTTGTCAGTTGTCTCTAAACAGAGTGACAGAGAGCAGCATACACACATGGGCAGGAGAGAAGCCCCTCCCAGCAGATCATCACACAAGGCGACTGTCCTTAACTTCTTTGTTGCAGAAGAAGCGACGCCTGCTAATCCAGGAACACATGCAAAGCTTAATTCATGTGTTTTTTTATAAAGATAAGCTCTAATGTCACATGTGATGACAAAAGAGCAGAATCGCTTAGAGAGCAGTCCGGGTGAGGGGGGAGGAGGAGTAGGTAAATGCTGCCTCCTATTTGTCTGTATAACACATGTGAAATTTGGTACAGATATGAGTATGTACAGTGAAGTTACAACAACTTTTTGTTTCATGGCAAAGCATCGAACTTCGACGCCACGCCACAAACACTCCGTAATGCGAAAACTGACCAGCTTCACAGCATAGCATTCTCAATGTCTTAAGGATCTTAGACTGTTTTGAGGTGGGTGTGGCCAACCTGCTAGGAGTAGTACAACTTGACACTTCATGTCGCTAAGACTTCTAGTAAATGTTGACAAATGGATGTGTTCAGGGTGGGACTGTTATCGTACATGTAAATTTTGGTACATATGTGAGCATGCAGAGTGTAGTTATAACAACTTTGTTTTTCATGGCAAATCATCGATTTTCGACACCATGTCACGGACACGCCCATCGATCCAAAACTCACAGATGGCACAACTTTTCATCATCAGTGCCTTTAGTTTGCACAGCAAAAATTTGAAGTTGATTGGATTAATTCTCTTGGAGGAGTTCATTAAAGTATGTAACCTGTGAATCGGCAAAAATTACCATTGAATTCAAAATGGATGACTTCCTGTTGGGTTTAGGGCATCGCTCCTTGAGGCTTTCTTTGTAGGTTTGGACATGATACATCTGCCACAAAAACTTCATACAATTCGGTGAAACGTGGCCCTGAGGCTGCTCTGTAGGGGACGCTAGTGAGCCATTCAGCCATGCCCATGTGCAATCATCAAATTTTCAACACACTTGGATTTTGTGTTAAGTTTCGTAAGTTTTTGAGCATGTTTAGGCTGACAAAAATGTGATTCATTTTGGCGAAAGAAAGAAAGAATTCCCTCAA